AGTGGGGTGGGCATGAAGGGCTTCCTGGAGGAGGCGACACTTGGACCAGGTCTTCAAGGTGGGTGGGATCCACCTAAGTATAAGGGAGCCCACAAGCAAAGCACAGGGCGGAAGGGGATAATGCTGGGGAGAGCGAGGAGTCCCCAGGATTCATGCAGGACAAGAGGAGAAATAAGGCGGCAGGGACTGCGGACAGGGCCAGACATGTAGAATGAGCCTTGGTTTCCAGGTGGGGAAATTGAGATGATGAGTCTCCAAGCAGCTGGGATAGTTCCACTGATAGTTCTTGAGCTAAGGGCGACATGGCAGGCCGTGGGGTCTGCCAGAAACAAGCTTGGTTAAGCTGGTGGGAGCAGAGTTCAGGGCGCGCCTCTGGGGAGTTTCCAGTGGCTGGGTCGGCCTCGTCTTGCGGCGCTGCGTGAGTGGCAGGCTGTGCCGCCCCACACCGTGCTCTTGGCAGGCACCATGGAGGCATAAGTGGATCACAGTGAAAGGTTAGGGGTCATGGAGGCTGTGTGGGGCTGCCTGGGAGGTGGTCTGCACGTGTAGGAAGGCCACAGTTGAGGAATGTCAGCCATCCCTGGAGCCCGCCCCGCACCCCCGGGGTGGATTTTAATGCTGAGTTTTTCTTCTAGCCAAGCAGTAGCTGCTGTTAGGTACCATCTTGTAGCCCTGGAAGTCGCCGCTGCTGCTGCACCAACATTCACCAACCTGACGGAGTTAGATATGAATCCGGTCCACTCAGGTTTGGAATAAGACCTTTACTTTCCACCTCTGGCACCCACTGTGCTCCCCGGGGTTGGGGGTGTCGGGAGCATCCCCGCCCTCCATCAGCTCCTTCCAGCCTCAGTTTCCCCTCCAGCTCTGATGGTCTGTCTGTGAAAGAGGCTGATCCTCTCTGTTGATCCGCCGTGGGTCCAGGGCCTCGGTTTTTCCATCTAGAAAGTGGGCTTGCATTCACACATGCCAAGACCTCTAAGGCCCCAGCTGGAGCTTTCAACTTTTGTGCAGGATCCACTGGGATCTCCAGCACTGGGCAAACCTTTAGGGAACCAGAGAGAATTCACTTCAAACTCATTTTTGGAAGATGCTTGGGGAACACAGTTAATGAAAATTGGGTTCCTAAAGGTTTGGGGCTCATCTCTCAATAGAAGGCAAAGCTTTGTGGAGTTTTGACCCCTTGGGGGGAACTGTGCTCAGAAGCCAGGGATACATGTAATGGAGTTACATCTCTAGCTCTTTGCTCCATCGCCCTCATCGAGGGGCCTCACAGCTGCAAAGTGGAAGAGACTTGCTCCTGCGCTGAGTGTCCCCAGAGTCCTGAGCCCTAAGCGTTCCCTCTGACAAATATTCATAGTGCCAGGCCTTGTACTGGGTGTTGGGAAGCAGGCCCGGGTAGTATGGGGCAGAGGTGGAGGTGGTGTGGCCTGCGGAGCCCAGGGGAGGCACTGGGGGGTCCTCGGGGCCACCATCCTGGGGGATTGCCTGTGAGTTACTTGGGGAGCAGCGTGCTGGGCTAAGGCAACAGCAGGAGCCGAGGTGTGGAGGGAGGAGTGGGAAAGCACGGGCTGTGTGGGTTCAGAGGCCCCTGGTCATCTTGGCTGGGCTCAGGCTGGTGGAGGATGCTTGAAACTTGACTTCCAGACAAATGGAGTAAAAGCCCAGGCAACAAGCCCCTTTGCTCTGCGGTGGGCGCAGCGGCAGCCCGTGCCAGTGGATCACCCCCTCTTCCTTGCTGAATCCCAGGCTGTTTCACTCCACAGGCACCAAACTCTCCTTGAGCTAAATTTCTAAGTGAGGGAGAGGTAAGTGTGGAGCTGGGCAGGAAAAAGAAAGTCCTTCCTCTTTGAGAAGAAACATGATTAAAAGAGGAACAGTGAGAACGGGGAGCTTGTTTACAAACATTAATGAGCTACGAGTTGTCACAGTGTAGACAGGATGTGATGCCCATTTTACGGAATGTGACACCGAGGCTGGGAGCAGTGACTTGCCCAAGGCCCTACTGCAAAGGCTGCCCTGGCTGGTTTCCCTGGAGCTGTAACTTCCAGCAGAGCCCTGGTGACAGAGTGGGGGATGGCCGGCTCTGAGCGAGCACTGGGCCACGCGTGCCCTTAGCTGGCCTTGCCCCCAGGGCCTGTCTCTCTCCAGTTTCGGTAGAGGGAGGGAGGGGCCTGCCCTCTGTTTGCTTTTTACAGCCAGCTGGAGACGAGTGAGGAGGTTAAGGTTCTTACAGCTTGAAAGGGGAAGTTTGAGGAAACAGAAACCGAGGCTTTCTTTTTTCTCATGTCTCTTTCTTTTGTGGCCTCCAGAAATAATCCTGGGCTCTGCAGAGCCTGTCTCAGGGTCCTGGTTGACCTACTCTACCCACACTTCCGGCAGAGCCCGGCTGGGGCCGGGGCGGTGGGGAAGCAGGCGGGGAGGAGGGTGACGGGCTTGCGGCTGGTGAGTCAGTGGCAGGAGGCCGTTGCCTGCTGACTCACCGCCCTGTGCGTGAAAACAGGCCCCCTGAGTCCCCCGCAGCCACGGCGCCCTCCCGGCTCCCTGCTTCCTCTCTTTCACCTGATTGGTGGTTACAGCGCGTGCTGGCAATCTCAGTGGCATTTGGGGTCCAAGCCCCCTCAAACGGATTCGCGCGGCCTGACTGTTCCTGGACCTCCGCCTTCCCCCAGGGACCAGGTCCAGCCTGGCCGCGGGCCCAGCCCAGGGGGTGTCACGGGACCTGCTCCTTGAAGCCTCACTCCAACCAGACGCGTGACTCCTGTCCTCCTCCTGAACTGAGAACCATTTTCGTGATACTGTGATAAAATGAGCCCCCCACCTCTGGATATTAGCACCCTGAGGGCAGGAAGGCGGTGGGTGCTCGGTCCAGGTAGGGCAGGTGGGGCTTCTCCCGGAACCAGTCCGAGGGAAGTGACGTGTCCCAGGTCGTATAGCGTCAAAGACTGACCCTGTTCTTTCCAAAACCCATGGGTTTTATCCACGGAGGGGCCAGGGCTCTAGACTCACAAGGACGTTGTCTTCTCTCGGTCAGCCATGTTATGGTCCTTGGACAAGGGACAGCAGTTCTGGCCGCCCATCCTTGGCTGGTCCTTCTTTGCCAAGGTGGCCGTCACTTCAGCCTGTCCCACAGGTGCTCGGCTCACAATGAGGAGGCCGGCGGCTCTGAGGTGTTGGGGTTCAGGACTTGGGCTCTGCAGGCCCCACTAGAAAGTCCCTACTGGCAACAGCTTACAGAGGAAAGCCCAACATGGGCCCTCGAATCCCTTCAGGGTGGGAGGGAGCCAGGTGGTCAGGGACGGCCTGAGTTGAGCACTCCTTGGGGCAGCACAGAGCTCTCCAGGGTCCCTCAGCACCCGCTAGATAAATCCACGTTCTGGCCTGGGCTCCAGGCCTGCCTCCCTCCCCGGGTCGCCCCATGCCCTGTCCCCCATGCTCTGCCCCACACCGGCCTTCCCTCTGTTCCTTTGCCGTGTGCCCAGTGCGGCCTTCACACACGCTGTCCCTGCTCTGAGAACGCCGTTCCCCCAGATGTTTGCCTTGCAGATCCCAGCTTCAAGGTGGTTGAAAGCACAGACCCTGAAGCCCATTGCTGTGTGACTTTGGGCAAGCGACTTCACCTCTCTGGGCCTCATTCCTTCATCCAGGCTAGTGAGAAGAATAGATGAATTGGTACCTGCAAGGGCTTAGCACAGGGCCTGCCCAGAACCAGTCTTTAGTGAGCGTCTGCCACTATGAAACGTCACCTCCTCAGAGGGTCCTCTGACTCCCTGTGCCCTCATCTTGCTTGGCTGTCTTCTGCTCACCGGTCCCAGTCGTAAATATTTATTCATGTATGTATTTAGTGTCTGTCCTCCCTTCTGGAATGTCAGCTCCAGGGCTCACCTCCGAGTCCCCAGTCCCTACAGCAGGGCCTGGCACCTAGTAGAGGGTGCTCTCAGTAAATATTTATTCGGTACTCACTGCTCGCCGGAGCTGCCCTCTCTCCGTCTTATCCCCAGATATCCAAGAGGCACAGGGGAAGTGCTTGGCCTGCAGGACTGGAACTGGAACCAGACCCAGTTTTCTGACTCTTCACCTACTGCCCTGTCCCCTGACTCGGTGGCCTACTGGGCCAGTGCCTGGGGCACCTCTGTTTTGGGCGTGTTGTGTGCCCAGCTTGCGTTCCCCTCGAGGGCAGCGCCGGCCTTCCTGCCTGCTGCCCCCGCCCAACCCCGGGCCACCCGGCCACAGAGCAGCCTGCTCGCGCCTTCC